CAAATTTCTCTAAGCTTTTAGATTAACTACTAACCTAAAATCATAAATAATTTAGTAATATATGTGCTAAATTTATACATTTATTTACAAGTTATAAATTTTAACTAATATAAAATAATATAAGGTAAAAAGTTTATATTATCTCCCTTATTTTTTCTCTTTACATTAATAATTTAATCATTATTATTTTTTTCCCATTATTCTCTCATCTCTATCATTCTTTCTTAAAGAGTGTTTGGATTAACTGTTTTGATGCAATTAATAGTTAATAATCAATATTCAATGACTAATAATTATTATTATTTATAATTTAAAATAGATAAACCATTTGATAAAGGCTAATAGTTGATAACCATTTTCCACCCTGTAAACTCCCTTACTCATTTCTTTAAATCTTTATCTACCAAATATATCTCTTTTTTTACACCACTTTCTTTTCCTCTTAATAGTTTTTCACTTATTTATACTTCATCTTTCATTTATTTTTCTTGAGACTCCGTTTAGTAGCTTATTTTCTCTAATTTTATCATTATATTTATTTATTTATCTACTTTATATTCTTTGTATTCTCTCTCCCTCTCTCTATATATGTGTATACACACATATATATACTAAGAATTTGTTGGTTATTAATCTTTACCCCATTATCCTTATTCTCCTAATATTATTCATTCTTAATCATTCATTGTAAATCTATTTATTATTATATACTTTTTTTACTTCAATTTTTCTCTTTCTCTCTCCCCCTTATTCTGTGTCTATTAAAATTATTTGATTTTTTGTTTGACTGAATATATTAAACGCATGTAAAGGCTCTTATTTTACCATATATATAGTTTAGACTTTTGATAAAGAAAATGCCAAAACATGGCAACAATCTAAGGTAAAAGAAATAAGAGATCTTGAAATTCAAGTCATATAGTATATAATAATTCTAATATACAATCCAATTAAATAATTTGCTAAACCAGTACCAAGTTTCAATCCAAATCATTTCAGAAAGTCTCTCGCTTAGTCTATATATAGTCCTGCATTCTTTTACCATCTATATATAGGTCTGCATTCTTTTACCATGAGATATATAGTGAAAAGAGGAAAATAGAAACACAAGTGTTATGAGCACACGCCCTAAACCACAAGGTGCACAAAATGTACATTTTGTGCATACTAAAATCTTGTTTTTTCATCAAGAATCTAAATAATTCAGTGGTAATCTCCTTTTCTAAAAGTAAGAGGTTATAAATTCGAGTCACATGATACGGTTGAGATAAAATAAGAGATAAGAGATAATTATCTCTCATTGTGCAACCAAAATTAAAATATATAAATATATATCTTGTTCTCTCTTTTTTTCATCAATATCTTTGTTAAACCTTCATCATTTGTTTTTTTTTTTCTATCAACCTAGAAAATTTTTTTGATCAAGTTTTTCATCAATTTCTTTGTTAAAACCTTCATGAATATCTTTGTAAAACCTGCGGACAAAGAAAAAAAAAGGTCATTGCTAAACCTTCATCAAGCGCCCAATCTTTCATTAACCCCCCCTTTAGGTAAAGCATATGTATACTACTGGTCAAATAATTTTTCTTGGAACAATTAAAGCGTTAGTTGCTTTATTCCTTGTCTTGTGTCCTTGGAATTGGGAAGGCAATTCCTTGCTTTATTCTGGTCACTATCAGCTTAAGCATCTCGAGTCCTTAGAATTGAGAAAGCAATTCTTTGCTTTATTCTGGTCACTACCAGCTTTAAGCATCTCTTGAGTCCTTAGAATTGAGAAAGCAATTCTTTCGAATAAGCTGTCATGTTTCAAAAAATCAAGAAAAAAAAAATAAAAGAAAGAAAGAGAAAAAGAGAGGAGTGTACCAAAATGATTCACCATTATTAACGGAAACATATAATCACTTTGTCCTTTGGAATTTATCTCCGCTTTATTCTTGGCCAACAGCTTAAGCTTCTTGATTATGCACACATTTTGAGAGCGAATTTCATTAAGCTTTATACTAAGTAATTGGTAACATATCTGCATATCTTAATTTTGATCTTGATTGTTATTGGTTTCTAGTCTCATTTTGCCTTCTTATCTTGAATATTATGAGGACTTTGAGATGGCAGTAAAGCTCATTTTTTACTAGATTTTAATTGATAATAATATAGTTATAATGCCATAATTACAATACTTTATAGAATTATAAACTTATAATAATGATGTGATATTAAATAAATATGATGTAGTATTTAAAAAGTGAATGCATACAATATGATTTGTGAATTCTTGAATAAAAAGAACCAATTGTATAATGATATATCATGTTGTAAGTTTACAATACCACATGGTATTGTAACTAACATTTTTGTATTTTAATAAATAAAATATGATTTTATTATGAATTATACTGATTAATGGATGATTCGTCTTCTATCTTGCATGTTTAATTTAATGATTCACTTCATTTAATGATCCATTTACTATGATCAATGTAAGTCTTTCTCTTAACATATAAATTATGTAGGCTTGCTATCTTGTATGAAATATATAATGAAAAAACAAAAATAGATAAACAATAAACAAGTGTTACGGGCACGCGCCCTAAACCACATGGTGCATAAACGTACATTTTGTTTGGTTCACAAGTCTTTTACTCTTTTCTTTCCATCATCTTTGTTAAACATTCGTCAAACTACCCAATCTTTCACTAACCTTTCCTTGAGGTAAAGCTTGTAGTTAATTAACTTTTTTTGAATAATAGAAGCATTACATGCTTTATTCTTTGTCAACCAGCTTTAGCATCTCTTGAGTCCTTGGAATTGAAAAAGTAATTTTGAATAAGCTAGCTATTGCTATGAAGAATGAGTCATGAATCATTATTGCCGATTACCAAAATGATTCATCATTAGAAAAGCATGTAATAAGGATTTGCTCAAGCGGTTGAAAAGTAAATTAAACAATATTGAGAATGCGAGTTCAAATTCTTTCAATGTTATTTAGATACAAACAATTATTTAAATGCAAACAATTTCAATAAAACATACCTTCCACTCTTGAAATTGGAGTTTTGCCAAATACTTGGTATGAATATCCACCTTATCCAATAGAAAAGGAAAAAATAAAAATAAAAAAGCAGGTGAAATTAGTCTGTCCAAATGCGTACGTTATCTAACATGTTCATTCTATTGCTTTACCAAGGAATTTTATTCACCCTTTATTCTTGGCCAGCAGCTCACGTTTCTTGATTATTCACTTATATATTGAGTTGTGAGAATCGATAATTCACTAAAGACAATGTTATTATTACAATATCACATAATATTTATAAGTATTATTAAATATATAATATTATAAGTGAGTCATTGAATAAAAGAATTTGATTATATAGTATATATATATAATTATAATGGAAAAGTAGGTATCATCTTATATTGTAAAAGATTAGGTAAAAAAATCTCAAAACTACATTATTTTAATAAAATATCATTTAAAAAGATTAAAATATCCTAATTTTCACCAATAATTTAAGTAATTCAGTTGTGATTTTTTTTCAAAGTAAAAGATTAGGGTGGGTTAAGAAATGAAAAAGGGTTGCCTTTTATTATACAACTTAAAATTTTTAAAAAAAATCCTAATTTTTAAAGCAAAAATGAGGCTATTTTAATTTTTTCTTATAATCCTTTATCAAACCACATAATTTTGGAATAATTTTCTATTTAATTTTTTACAATATAAATTAATATTCATTAATCTCTAATTATGATTAATAAACTTACCATATCTCATGGGATTATGATTATATCATTTTTGTTTTAGTAAGCTTTTAGAAAAAGTAATTGTTAACATGAGCAGGGCTAGAGGCACTCGCCTCTTGCACTCTTCGGCCAACACTTCTCCTTTCATTGGGCTACGTAAGCTTGTTTCCGGCTTTGCAGTGCAACCTCTTACAAACTAGAATAACGTGACCCAATAAAAATGAAAGTGTTGGCCGAAGAATGCAGGAGGCAAGTGCCCCTACTAGCACTCCTCTTGTTAACATACCCGCGTATCTTCATTTTGAATTTATCTTGATTGCTATTAATTAGTTTCCGCTCTCTACCTCACCAATTTTATTCAAACGCTTAAAAACAGGTCTCTTTCTTCAATTAGGTCAAGTGCTAAACTTAGCCCCTAAGCTTCAACTTAGGGACACTTTTGGTACTTGAACTAATTTAAGCTTTTTTTTATCCCTTAACCCTATAACTTTAATAGTTTTAGTCCATTCCGTTGAGGAAAATCCTGGTGGCCATTAACTTAATAACGTGTGTGTTTACTTTAATTCTAAATATTACATGAAAATAAATAAAAATACATTTTGCTTACATGGACAAATGACATGACCTTTATTAATTATTTGAAAAGATAATAATGAATAGGATAAAAATTTTGAGATCAGTGGACTTAATATAAATTATGTTATTTAAAATATTAAAAGATAAATTATATATTATTTAATAATTAACTATTTTTACTATTATTATAATCTATAAATACTATATATAGCAACTTATTTAATAATATGACTTATACCATATCATAGGTCTCAATTTTTCATCATCTGTATCACTATTTAGTTGGAAAACTAGGGGATCCACTCTCATAACCTTAAAACA